GGTGGCCATGCAGTGGGCCGACGCGTCCGGAGAGGTGGCGCTCGACGGCGGGGGGCCTTGGCTGGAGGGCGAGCGGTGGAGGGGAGCGCACGTCGAGAATGAGAGGGCCAAGGGCGGGGAGAACGGAGACTGGGGAGGGGCGCCCCCTGAAGGAAGTCTTTGGAGAGGCGCCCCGTTAGAGGAGTGGGCCAGAGAACTGGAGACCAGAGACCGGCGCGGGGCTCAGTCCGAAAGTGAGAAGGAGCGAGGCATGCAAGTCCGGTACTGGAGAGGGGTGCAGCTGGAGAACCAGAAGGTGAGGGGACTCGAAGGGAGCGTCTGGAGAAGGTCCCAGCTGGAGAGCGAGCACCGAGGCTGGAGGGGGGCCCAGCTGGAGGGTGAGAATGACTGGGGGCTGGAAGGCTATGTCTGGAGGGGGGCCCCCGCGGAGGACCAGGGCCTGAGGAGCTTGGAAGGGTACGCCTGGAGGATGGCGCAGTTGGAGGACCGAAGGATTCGACTTCTGCAGACCGCGGACGGGAGGAGCCAGTTGGATTGCGCGAGAGCCAGGGGCCTGGAAGGAGGCAGCAGCCACAGGGGCGCGCAGGCACAGGATGCAAAGGTCTCTGGACTGAAACCCAGAGACCAGAAGGGGCTCCAGGTGGAAGCGGAGAAGGGAGGGAGGGTGGAGGTCAGGAACTGGAGGGGGGTCCATTTGGAGAAGCCGCTGGAGCCGGTCCCTGAGAACAGAGACCAAAGGGCGCCCCATTGGGGACAGGAGAGGAGAGGGCCGGAAGTTAGAGAAGAGAGAGGCGTGAGGTCGGGGGTCAAAAGGAGAAGGGACCTGGAGGACGTGGTTCTGGTCCAGCTAGGGGACACGAGGGTGACAGGCCTGGAGGATGGAGTGGGAGGGGGGGCTCGGTCTGGGGGTCCCCAGAACCGGGGAGGGCAAGGAAGGGAGTGTCTGGACGCAGGAGGGAGGTGTCTAGGGCTGGGGAATGGAGTCGCGTGCGGCACCCCCACGGGCACTGTGTTTGAGGGTGATCCTGAATGGCCAGGGGACAGACTCCAGGAAGGAAGTGAAGGAGAAGGCCCCAGGGAACCAAAGAGACCTCGCTGCCCTTCCGGAGAGAAGGAGGCGGACTGGGAGCCGCTGGCCAAGTTCCGAGCGGCCTGTGGGCCGGAGCTGGCGGACCTGGTGGCGGAGGAGCTGTCCTTCGCCAGGCAGCACGGGACCCGGGGTTTCCACGTGACTGGAGCTGGCTTTGCCCTGAAGGACGGCACCTCTGACTTCTTCCTGGACGGCGCCCTGACGCGCTGCAGCTGCTCCATCCACGCTGCCCGGCATCTGCCCTGCCGCCACCTCTTCGCGGCGCGCCTCCTCACGGGGGCAGCCTTATTCCACGTGGACCTGCTCAGGAACTGCTGGGGGAGAGCCCCAGAGTCCTGACCCTCAGCCCCTGCCCGCCACCCTCCCTGTGAGGGCCGGGGGGCATTCTTTTATCCCAAAGATAACAAGGCCGAGGCCAAGGAGGCCACCCCAGCCCCTCTGGCCACCTCCTGGGGCGCCCACGGACCTCACCTTGGCTGTTGGTCTCGCTGGGTACGAGGGGACGTGGTCGGTGCTCTCCAAGGTCCTGGAGCCACAGGTGAGGAAGGTTGTGGCCAGGGTGGATTCTGAGGGAATACAGGCATTTGACAGGGTCAGGCAGGGACAGAAGGAAGAAAGGACAACCAAGGGAGGGGAGGACGCCAGGCTCTGGGGACAGCCTGGCAGGAGTAGACTGGTCAAGTCCACGGAGCACAGCGGGAGACGGGCAAAGCAAGGAAGAAAGAGGACAGATGGAGGAGAGGTAAGGGAAGAAAAGACAACAAGGAGATAGAAATGGGGGAGAGAGCACAAGAGAGGAGGCGGAAATGGAGAAGAAATAGGAAGGAGCAGAGGGAGGCAGGAGGAAGGGAAGGGAAAGAGACAAGGTGGAGGAGAGGGAAGGACACAGGGAGACCCAACACAGGAAAAGTGTGGGAGAGAAGACAAGAGCGGAGTGATTTGAGTTCTTTCCCCAAGGACTGGAGGCTTGGATCCCTTCACCTTCTGATTGGTCATTCCCAGAAGCCGGAACAAGAGGGAGCACGGAGAGTCTTTGTGGGATGGCCTGGGGGCCTCCAGTGGGGGAGGGGAGCAAGCGGGGCGATTGTGCTTCAAGATTGGAATAAAACAGCATTATTTTGGTTTCCACGCTGAGTTCTTGACTTCTGGGGGAGGGTCGGAGGCCCGGGCCCCGAGGGAAATTGAGATGGTCCAGCATTCCTTCATTCTTTCAATGGGCCTGTGGGGGACAGGTGGAGTGAAGGGGCCAAAATGAATCCCTCTCCACGGCAGCTTAGGCTTCCTGTACCTCTACCTGCTCCACATGCTCAGCTCAATCCCTCCAGGCCTCTCCTCAATGTCACCTCCTAAGGTCACCTCCATCCCTGAACAGTTCATCTAAGGAGTGAGTCACCCCAAAAAATAAGTAAATAAAATATAGTGGGGCCTTGACTTATGAGTTTAATTCATTCCGTGACGGAGCTCGTAACTCAAATTACTCGTATGTCAAATCAATTTTCACCATCACAATGAATTGAATGCTGGGCTGATGTTGTGGCGTTCACTGTGACGTTCGCTGCGCCAACTAGCGGTGGGGTATCTGAAGCTGGCTCATAACCCAAATTTTAGCTCGAAACTCAAAGCAAAAAATCGGCCGAGAGACGGCTCGTATCTCGAAAAACTCATTAGTCGGGAC